TGTATATCCATCGCTGGTACATGGACGTTCCTCTTTCTTCTTCTGGAGGTCACATGCTGCCAAATTTCTTCACCGTTCCTCAGTCCCCTCTGAACAGCCTGCTCCGATTCTTCAGAACATTGTGCCCATAGAAGCATATCCTGACGTCTGTCCAGGACATCTTAATTTTCTCGTATGCAACACAGGGTCGATACTTGTTTCTCCAGACCTCAAACCTTTTCTTCCAATATGGAGACCAGCTTGCACTTTGTACAGACAAAGTCGCTTCTGTCCTGTGGAAGAAAGACAAACAACCTGTGCAGGTTACAACAGCTGAACGCTCACCTAAATAATTTCTTCCTTCTAAGAGCTTCCTCAGCTGTTGCAGCAACTCAGAGAAGCCTGCAAGATGAAAGCCTCAGTACGCTTTCCCCAGGTGAACTCCTAGCAAACTCCCTCTGTTAGCCTCCGCTGTTCGCCACTCAGCTGGTTCGCTGCTGACTGCCTTTTTATAACAGTCAGGCCCACTCAATGCCCACCTGGAACAAAGCTCTCCCAATTCACACTGTTCAAACAAACAATCAAGCACACGGTCAAACTGACAAACTGTCCCCTGCAACAGACACTCAGATATTCACCAACACAGCCCCTCTAATGCCGCACTTCGCGTTCCTCCTCTCGGACAGCTCTCAGGCAAACTCCCTCTGTTAGCCTCTGCCGTTCGCCGCTCTTTAGGTGCCCAAAAGAGACTAAGGGAGTTAGGTGCTCAACAATGGGAATTGGGTTCCTAACTCCCTTTGTCTTCTTAGAATAGCCCAGCTTCAGGCATGTTCAGATTCAGTGGCTGACGACCTTATTTGTGGCCTCTGACCTGGGTAAATGTCGCTCTGAGGCTGAGGAGGGTGGCACTAGCTGAAAATGTGCAGAGACAGGTGACAGAGTGAAAGGGTCTCTGATATTTGACACAAGGCAAATGTAATTAAGCTGCGGGGATGGATCCATGTGCATGTGACGGGGTAGGAATATCACAATAGCAAATTTAATAAAATGAAAAAAAAATTGACCAAATATGTCTAACATCCTTTTTGTGATCTTCTACCACTCTGTTTTTTTCTTGCTTTCTTAGACTGTATTTTCCCTAATACTCTTTGATAGGCATCTTTACGAGTTCCACTTCTACCTGTGGGTGTGTATACACAGCAGCTGAGTTAGACATTCCTGCACTAGCTTTGATCAAGCAAACCAGCTAAAAAGAGAAGAGTAGCTTTGGCAGCACAGGCTAGCAGAATCCCACAGGGACCCTAGCAATGACCCTAGCAACAGCCCACCCTGTTGCTACACTAACACCTCCAGCTGCAGTGTAGACATTCTGTAAAAATGACTTAACTTTCATCTCTTCAAACTATCTACTTCTATGTCTATGCTTAACCTAGTGTTAGGGCATCCTTGGATGGGTCATCTTGGGAACTGATCATAAGACCTCTGGATCTAAAAACATGTATGTCTACTGATTGAACTAAAGTACCAGCCGTGCCAACTTGGAAGCAATAGCAGACTGGTAAACAGCTGTACATGGTCTAGCTCTTACGTGGAGGTAAAGGGCCCCCTCTGTTACACTAGGGTCTGCATGACTACTTTGTATTTATAAACATAACCCTACAATAAATCTATCCCTATATTACCGAGGGTGGGATTTTTCAAGGCCACATATGAGGCTCAACTTCTTTTAATTTCTAACGGGAACTGTGCAGTCAACACAGGTTGATTTCCCCTCCAGAGCCCCACAGTCTCAAGCATGGGTGCGAATTGAGTTGATAGCTCACATTCCCCTCTATTTGTCACTGGTGAGGCCAAACCTGGAGTATTGTGTCCAGTTTTGGTCCCCCCACTACAGAAGGAATGTGGACAAATTGGAGAGAGTCCAGCGGAGGGTAATGAAAATGATTAGGAGGCTGGGGCACATGACTTACAAGGAGAGGCTGAGGAAACTGGGGTTATTTAGTCTGCAGAAGAGAAGAGTGAGGGTGGATTTTACAGCAGCCTTCAACTACCTGAAGTGGGGTTCCAAAGAGGATGGAGCTAGGCTGTTCTCAGTGGTGGCATATGACAGAATAAGAAGCAATGGTCTAAAGTTGCAGTGGTGGTCTAGGTTGGATATTAGGAAACAATATTTCTCACTAGGAGGGTGGTGAAGCACTGGAATGGGTTCCCTAGGGAGGTGGTGGAATCTCCATCCTTAGAGGTTTTTAAAGCCCGGCTTGTCTTGACAAAGCCCTGGCTGGGATTGGTCCTGCTTTGAGCAGGGGATTGGACTAGATGACCTCCTGAGGTCTCTTCCAACCCTAATATTCTATGATTCTAACACTCTTGAACTTGTAATACCAACAGATCACAGTCATCAGCAGGCAGGATTGAACTTGGGACCTCTGAAGCTTAATACATGAGCCTCTACTGCAGGAGCTAAAAGCCATGCCCCTTTTAGCTAAGGTTGTAGCAAACTCATTAATCTCTAGATGGTCTAGGTGCTAGTAGACAGGAGCAAAGTGCCACACCAAGCAGGCAATGGGTTACTCACTCACTTGATAGGCATTTTTACTGACTCTTATGCATGTGGGGCATTTTATGCCTAAATTCAATGGGATTACTCGTGTGTTAAGCTAATGACATGCATAAGTGTTTTTCACTAGTACAGCAGGAATACAGTGGGGTTGGCATGTTTCAGTGAGGATTTCACGCTGAAGACTACTCTCTGCATCCACTAGAGACCTCCCATAATGGACTAGTTATTGCAATACTGCTTCATCTGAGGTTACAATTATAATTAAAATTGCTGTTTACTCAATCTTCAAAACAAAACAATTATTAGCTCTCCAGCTCAGTAATTCTTTTGCCGTTCAAGAGCATTAAGGGAGATCTTGCTGTCTGCTATAAATATCACATCATTATGTAGAAGGAGAGGTTACTTTTTTGTGTGTTGGCTACCAGTCAGAATGATACTTGAAGACAAGAGGTTCAAATCTATCCTCTTCATTCTCTCCTTCTATCTGCAATTCTTATGGAAAGAAGAGGAAACATCAGGAAGGAAAGGTGACTGATAACTGTCCTGAATAATTACTGAACATGTGACTCTGATCAGGGCCTTTATAGTGCATTTCTACAAAGAAAACACAGGCCAGATTCTGATCTCATTTGCACTGGTGTAAAAATGAATTGCCTCTACTGGCGTTAGTGGATTTAAATTGGGTAAGAATCTGGCCAGGTATGATGGGAAGTTAAAGTATTGACAAACATTTAATCCTGATTTTTTTTTGTCCAAAAAACTGAAATTCAGAAAATGTCAACCAGCTCTAGTAAGAGTCCATGACTGCAGCTGAAGTAATTGGTATCAGCATCTCTAAAGCTCATAGCCCCACACTGCGATTTCCAAAGTGGATGAAGGTTGCATAAACAATGGGCCACTTGCTAAAGTCCTAGTTCAAGCAAACTTATGATAACTTCAGTGGGAATTTGGCTGTATAAACCAGGAGAAAAAAATAGAGTAACAGTTTCAGGCTTTGATCTTTGAGCTCTGCGAGTGGCTTTTCAAGAAAGGCTTCAATTTTGCCATCCTTTGTCATTTTGAATAGCACTTGGGACTAGTCATGGGGTAGAATATCACTCAGTGGATTAAATGATTGCATGAAATGGATGTGCAGATTGTCCAGCAAAAAGCCTATGCACTACAAAGTCCCAAGTTTAATTTAAATGATGCATAAATGTGTAACATACATGACAATTTCCTGCAATATCCTGGTCAAACCTTACTGAATTACGCTAAACCCTATTGAACTAAATAATTTTAGAAGTTCATTGTATTAAAAATGCAAATGTTTATGTATTATCGTGGGATGAATGTAACATCTCTAAGGAGGAAACCTAACTAATGAAAATCTTGGGAAGTGTTATGAGCTTCAAAGAACTATTTGGAACAATGTGAACTTTTTAAGTTAATTGAGTTTCCCAGGAAATCTCTAGGCAGAGGTGTATGCTAATGTAACCACCCACTCAGAGAAGAGGTGACCCTTTCTCTGCAGATCAGCTGTTATATGATGACAGGTCAAAGACCCAAACTGTATAGAGAAGTGACTCATATTTGCATGGGTGTACTTGTTCTGAGCCAAGACAGTTATGAATTTGTAAGCACAAAAAAAACCCCACAATCCCTCAGTGGTGTTTGAAGGACCGGCCAGTGCCCTGGTTGGAGTTGGGGTGGTCTCTAGTGAGGTCATTAGCAGGTGAGTAGCTTTGTTTTATGGGTTCAAAAAAGAACTAGATAAGTTCATGGAGGATAGGTCCATCAATCGCTATTAGCCAGGATGCGCAGAGATGGTGTCCCTAGCCCGTGTTTGCTAGAAGCTGGGAATTGGCGATAGGAGATGAATCACTTGATGATTACCTGTTCTGTTCATTCTCTCTGAAGCACCTGGCATTGGCCACTGTCAGAAGACAGGATACTGGACTAGATGGACTTTTGGTCTGGCCCAGTATGGCCGTTCTTATGTTCTTAGTGTTTTTATATGTTTTCTCTGTAATGCTTTCACCTTCAGAATCAATGCACCTGCTTAGAAAGGGCGGTGTGGTAATTGAACAGTGAGCAATTATACTGTTTATAGCTTCTGAGGAATGAAAGCAAAGCAGGCCTGGTGAGGCAGATGGTCTTGCTGGGGAATTCACAGCACAGTCAGGGAACTGTGCAGCCTGGAAATATGCTGGGGGTCAGGAGGGTGGGAGACACGCGTCTCTGCCCAAGAAAGAGGAGCCAGGAGCCATAGAGTGGGTGCCCCCGCTGGACCACAGATGGGGATGAACTGTATCAAAGTGCACTTGGGGCTGAAGTGTAGAATAGCTCATATGCTGGCCCCTGTGCACAGGGG